CATCACCCTAACCTCCGCCTCCCAGCCCCGGAGTAACCAGGAGTCTGGGAGAGGGCCCGCCTTCCACAATGATATAAGGCAAGCTGCTTTTTGTTTTTTGTTTTTTTGTTTTTGCATAGTAATTTAAACACAGTGAGGTGCTACCTACTACCCCCCACAGTGCCTTATCCCTCCACTTTGCCACTAAACCCAAAACAGAAAATAAACATTGGTCTTCCCTCCCTTCCTTCTACTTTTCTCTCTTCCAGAGAAGGAGAAAGCTTGGGAGGTCCCTGCCCAGGCCTGGAGGTAACTCCTGGGGCGGGCAGATCACCCCCAGCCAGCGCCTGCGCCAACCAGCGGAAGAGAGGGCAAAACTCACGGCCAATCAGGAGCAGGTGGGAGGGTAGAAAACCCGCTTGATGCCACGCCCGGGCCCCGCCCTCACCTTGAGTTTCGTATAAAAACACCTGCTAGGAATAATACTCTGGAGCTCAAAGTGGCTCAGCTTAAGGGAGAAGGCACAGTTAACACTGCATCGTCCACACAGAAGTCTGCATTTGTAACGTGGAGAAATAGAAATTGACAGCACCATTCCTTGGGTGGGCGGGCAGGTGGGCGGAGAAGGGGCACTGGTCGTGGCGAGGTGGTGTGTCGGAAAGGAAGCAGCGGTCCCTCGGGGCCTCCAGAGAGGGGAGGGCAGAGGAAGTCCATGAGCGAGGACTGGTGCCCACTCCGAGAGGCCAGGGCCCCGTCATCAAGACCACCAGGCACGCGGGGCCTCTGTCATCAGCTGACCATGGGCTCCACATCGGCCTCCCGCTCCGACTCATCCTGGATCTCATCTGTACTTCCCGAGTCGCTGCTGGCCACAGAGCTGGGTGACGGTGAATTCCTGGGAAGCACAGGGGAAATGAGGGACATTCCGAGGGGTGAGGGGCAGGAAGGCTGAGCAGCCAAGCCTGTAAGGTCTACCCTCAGAGGGGTCCCTCCCTGGATTCTTTCCTCAGCACCCTTCAATCTTTTGGAGGTCATGGCTGATCTGAGAGACACAAATGAACTCTGGTTACATACTGTTAAGGGATAACACCTAACCTGTGACCTCCCAGACCTCCTGGGACCCTCCACCCCAGTGTCTACTTGATCTCCACGTGGAAAGCTCTTTGGGACCAGGGGCCATAGATCATGCTTGGCTCTTACCCTGAAATTGTCCAACCCAAGTCCCGGCACACCCGAGACGCTCAGTAAACCCCAAATAGCTCAGGGCACGAAGAGAGGCTACGCAACACGGAGGTTAACAGCACTGCCTTACAATCCTGGCTCTATTGTAGGTGGCTGGGGCTTTGGCCAAGCTGTCCACTTGCCTGTGCTAACAGTGGGTTCTGGGGGATCCACGAGTGAACAAGATGGGCCAAGCCCCCACCCCACCGCCTCTTATGTAGGAAGATGGTCACACACGTATGGCTTGTGCTGGGCATTCTCCACGTGTTCTCTTACTCTATTATCAGTGTGTCTGTCCCCCTCCAAGGCTATGTGTCCTGACAGCAGGGCTCTGTCCTCGTGTGACATGCCCGCTACACATCGGTCTCCTGCGGACAAGACCCACCTGACCCTGGGCTGGAAGACAGCAAAGAAGGAAGGGCAATCTGTTCCCCTAGATAAGGCTGAAAGGCCTATGCAGAAGCAGTGGGGAAGCACCCTGCCCGCCTCTCCCACTCCTCAGCTCCACAGAAGATGGGGCATAAGCCCCAGGAGAGCAGAGGTTCTGGCTGCTCGTCACCAGATCCCCACAGCCTTATGCACAGTAGACCTTCAACAAGTATCGTTGAAGCAACTCAGGCAGAGTCATTGGAGAGATTCTAGGAGACTGGACGCGTTAAGTCCCCTAGATCGTAGCAGGTGTACTAATATTCCCTGGAGGGAGGGAGGGATGGAAAGAGGGAGCATGGCCATGCTACTAGGTGCAGCCCCAGGAAGCACCCCGCCAGGTCTCCAGCACCGAATTCCAGAGCACAGGCAAGGTACCTGTCTGCAGAGCCTTTGATGAGCCGGCGGCAGGTCTCCATCTGCACGTCCAGGCCCCGCTTCATGCTGCACATCTCCATGTACTCGTGCAGGTGTCGGTTCATGTCGCTCTTGGCCGTGGCCAGCTCCAGCTGGGAGGAGCCAACAGGGAACAGGGGTGAGGACAAGCCATCCCCGGCAGCCTCCCTCCCCCACGCCTCAGTGGTGGTGCCATCGAGGCCACCGTGCCCTCAGGACCTTGCCTCTTGAACATCAGCCCCCCTCAGCCACTGCTGTCTGCACACTGGTCCACATCCTCTAGAAGTGCTACTGGTCAAAGAGGTGCAGTTGCCTAGCAACCCAGAGGGTCTCAGCCTGATCATCCCCACCCAGTTCCGGTAACTCCGCTCTGCACGGCATCCGAGGTCCTCTATATGGCCTCAGTTAGAGAAATCCTCAAATCTCCTTCATGTTTCTGACCCTTCTCCTCTACCAAATGGTATTTCCTCCACGGAAGGCGCCAGCCTTGTCTTTCCCCGGCTTGATAAAAGCATTGGCTCTTAGATATTCAACTGCTAGGCGCACAGCCTCTGCCGCCAGAGGGGACTGGGCTGAACGCTGCTTCCTTGCTGGGAAGCCTGGGGCAAGTCTCTCGGTCCCTTTCAACCTCATGGCCCCCTCTGTAAAACAGTGCACAGTCCCGAATGCGTGGGTAGAAGTAAGGATATAAGGACGTAACTGTAACAGGCTTACCCAGGGCCTAGCATCATTCAGTATCACTAAAATGTCAACTCGGGTTATTCCAGGGTCATCGTTTCAGATGAATAATTAAAAGAAAAAACCAACAGCTCTGGGACAGGCAGGGATCACACGCCCGTTTTACAGATTAGGAACCAAGACCAGAAGAAGGACGCCAGGCAGAGACTCTATAGGCCTCTGCTTGCCTCCTTCTCCGTCTTAGGCTCACAGGGGCACTTGATCATCAGGCGTCTCCACTACAGGGCTCTCCAGGGGCTCCACGGCCTGCGCCCTACCTCGATCTGGCCTATCGTTTCCTGGTACTCCTTGTCTCTCGTCTTGAAGAAGGATTCGGTCTCATGGATCAGGTTTCCCAAGTTTTCCTCCTGCTGGGGAAACAGCACAGAAAGGACCGATGAGGTGGGTGGTGAAGGCTATGAGGGAAAACAGGGGTAAGGGTGGTAGGGACGGAGAAGGGCAGCCCAAGGCCCCGGCCCACCTCGCCCTGCAGGTCGATGCTTGGGTTGCAGTTGGTGAAATCTTCCCAGAGCAGCAGGGTGTCTTCATTCTCCTCCCACGTCAGGCTGTCACAGTCGTCATCGAAGTCAAAGGTCTCCCGCCTGTGGGGGCACCAGTGGGCGTGAGTGCACAGAACCGGGCCCATAGAGGGGACAAAACAGGACGTCTTCCCCCGTGGAAAAACATCTATACATCTGCCCTCAAAAGACAGCAGTGGTCGCCAAAGGGGCATCTTTCTTGTCCAAAAAGAGTTTAACTCTTTCAAAATGCAGAATGTATGTTGGATCTGTACAACTAAAAGCATGTATTTGGGAACTCAGTGACAGAGTACTTTTCTAGCAGGTCCAAGCCCCTGAGTTCAATGCCCGGTACAGTGCACAGGTAAAAGGCATACTTTTTAAAGAAGACAGGCTGTAGTAAATAGAGACTGGAGATATCTTCCCCTCCGGTCCAATCTTGTGATTGTTTTCACTCATTTAGCAGCTATTTCTTGAGCCCCAAGTTTGAGCAAAGTTATTTATATCATTCCCATTTTACAGTTGAGGAAATCACAGCTCAGAAAGAATAATTCACTTGTTCAAAGACAGACAGCTACCATACAACAAAAACCGGGCCGACAGCCAGATCTTTCTGTTTCCTTTAGCTTTTTCCTCCCCTTCAGAACATCCCCAAGCACTGTTCTGTGCTGGTCCTGGACTGGCCACTAAGCAGACATTAAAATGTAACCGACGCCAGCCTCAGACTAGTGGTGACAGAAGCATGATTGTTATTCCCATTCTACAGGTAAGAAAACTGAGGCTCGGAGAGACTAGGTGGCCTTCTAAACCAATGCATGCTGGAAATTGGATTTGTACTCAAATCCCAAGTGATTTTAGGGTCTCCCTACTGTCTAGAATTGGAAATGGGAACTAATCATCCAGGATTTTCCAGGCCTGAAGGATTTTCCAAGATGCACCGGTTACCCCAGTGGAGTGGACCTTAACAGTCATTCCCACCAACACACCTGGTATTAGTGGGAAGGCTGGGCCCAGAGTTACACACTGACTCCCAGGGAATCGGTGGCACAGCAGTGAGGTCCCATCTCTAGGCTTCCATCGCAGAGTGCTCCCCACCACCACACTTGCCCCCTCAGCTACTTCCTGAATCCTCCAGAGCACGGCTCCCAACCGTCCCACAGTGGAACGGGCTGGGACCACTGGGGCTCAGAAGACCTGGTAAAAAGTCCCTGGAGTCAGGGTGGGAAGCTCCCGCCCGCCCAACAGCAGTTCCTGCAATAGTCTATAGGTGGCTCCCGGAATCCGGGGACCAGCGCGGGGCTGGAAGCAGGGAGAGCGGGGACTGGAGAAGGAGGCGGGGTTGGGAGCCTTTGGGGTCAACAGTCATGGATGGCAACAGACACCACTTCCTTCCCAGCGTCTGGGATCTGATGCAAAACCCAGCTGAGGACAACAGGCTGGGAAGGACTGGAGGCTGCCAGGAGTCGAGATGAGAGAGCCCCTATTCCGGGGAGGGGCTGAGCTGGGCTCTGGCTCTAGTGCAGGGCAGTGGCAGATTCCTGCTCCTCTCCTGGGTCCCAAGCCCAAGTAACTGATTTGGATCAAAACAAAACAGCCTGACACAGGTACACCATTCAAAGACTTCACTAGAACTGGCCGGCGGCAGCCTCTGGCTTGGGTCTAGGTCCATGGCTGGCACTGATATCGGGGAGAAAGCCAAGGCCTGCCTGGGGCGTGGGGGGCGGTCACTGCTGTGCCTAGAACCACAGGATGGGGTGAGGCGTAGTGACAGTGATTGTTGCCAACTGAGGCAACTTAACAACCAGATAAATCAGAGACTGACCCCCATCCAGACCCGGCAGTACCTCTGTGCACAGCACGGACTCCTGCCTGACTCCGATCAGACCACTCTTTCCATACAGGGGCTGCCTTGGCCCGTGGAGCTCCCTCTCTTACCTCACCCCATTCCCGGCAGCTTAACCACTCCCTGGGGAACTCATGAACAGGGACAACTATTTCTTCAGAGAAAGCCCCCTAATTCCACCCAATGCCTGGTCATGGTGGCGCATGTCTTCAATTCCAACACCCTGGGGGGCTGAGGCAGGAGGATGGCAGGGCTGACCCCAGCCTGGGCAACTTAGTGAGACCCTGGCTCTTAAAAATTAAAGAGGGGCTGGGGATGTAGTTTGGTGTAACGGCCCTGGGTTCAATCTCCCGTACGGCAATTAATAAGTCAATAAATACAATTCAGCCAAATGAACCTGGCCTGGGGTCTCTGGAGCATGTGACTTGGCCCAGCAATGCCCAGAGCAGCAGCCAGAAGACCTGGACGCAGCCACTGGTTAGGCTTCTTTTCAAAGGCCCCTTATCAGCAGAAGAGCAGGTGATCTAAGGAGGATCTGTGTTGAAAGATGAATCTAGGGGTCTCTTTGTCACCCTCAAGCAGCAACCCCCAAATCAGCCCCATCTCGCATCTGTGGGAACAGCAGGCTCAGGGCAGGCTCTGGCTGGGAAGCTCCAACCCCTGTCTCTTCGTCCTCCTTACAAGTCAGCCAACTTCACCGAAAAGGGGACCAGGACAAGGATGGTGATGCAGCAGGGACAGAAAAGGGACATCTTTTCCGAGCGTGCAGGCAGCTGGTGTGGGGGACACAGCCCTGGCCCACGGGCTGGGAGGTGCCAGCTCTGTCCACTCCTCCAGGGACCCTCTCTAAGCCTGTCCCCCACCTGTACGGTGAAGGGGCTGCTGGCGAGACCCTGGATTGTGCAGCGCCAAGCTAGCCTCACAGCTGGGAGCCCTGGAGAGTGCTGAGTTCTCCGGGTCGAGGTGCCTAACTTCAAGGGACTCCAGAGAGATGGGAGCATCGGGCAAAGGACAGGCAGGGCCCAGAGACCAAGTCCTAGCCCTGCCCTTTGATGCACCCAAAGCCCACCCTCGCACCTGCCCCCATCCCTCTCCAGGGCACTGCTAGAGATGTACTGAGAATACGCACTGAACAGGCCAAGGCCACCACCATGCCACCCTGGTCCCAGGCCGACCGTACCCCATGAGGTTGGTACAGCAGCTCTCCGGGGATGGGAGAGGAGCTCTGCCCAGTAGCATTGGCTAATTTCCTGCAGTAGCAAGTTTCGTGCTACTAACATGGCGTCACCAAGCCTGCACACAAACCACCGCCGCAGTCAGCTTCCAAGAGCTGCTAGCAGCTGTCCTGGCCAACAGGGCAGCGGCTCATGATGGGAGCACTCCAGGGACACAGGCTGGGGTTCGGTCCCAGCTCTGCCAGGTACCAGCAGAGTGTCTTGGGCACGTCCCTTCCCCTCTTAGAGTCTCAGTTTCCTCATCTACGAAAGGGAAGGGATGGACCCTGCTTCCAAGGCTGGGTGTCTGGTGTCAGCCATGTGCCTGTGAGGAGCACCTTTGGCATGGGGGACCCTCGGGGAGTTCCGGGTTTCCCGCTGTGCCTCATTCCCAGGGAGACCGATGGGTGGGAGGAGGTGTGCCTGAGCCGCTGCTCTGGTCCCTTCCGCTCATGAAGTCATCACAGACTCCTACACACGACGGGGCAGGGGACAGCCCAGCTCCTTCACCCTACGGGCAAGAACAGCCCCCCGCCCCAGCTGAAAGGTAGCAGGTAACACAAAGGGCTGAGGCAGAAAGTAGTGCACAGGCCCTGCCAGACCTGGAACCGCTACGCAGCCCTGCCAGTTGTGCCCTGGACCTAGTCTCGGGCTCCTAGAGAGTGAGAACACGAAGTTTCCTAAACTGTCACGGTTACAAATCAGCCCAAACTTCCAGAACACTGTGCCGATCCAACCAAACGCATATGCAGGTGCTCTCAGCCCAGGCCAGCAGTGTCCCCTCCTTCCCACCATGGCCTCGGTGCAGGGTGCAGAGGCAGCGGGACACTCACAGCTGGTTAAACATGCGCTTCATCTCATCCGTGATGTTCATGGAGCCGACCTCGTCATCCGAGAACCGATTCACCTCACCGTCCTGCTCTGAGATGTCATCGTCTGATGCCACTTTACGCTCTTTCTTTTTGGGGACCACCTGGACCAGAAAGGAAGAGGAGAGGTAACTAGGGAGTCGTCTCGGATGGAAGGTAGGGGCAGGCGGGAAGAGAAGTGGCATCTCGGGGGTGGATGGAGCGCGGCTGGGCCGGCCACCGTGAGAAAGATGCGTGGTCTTCTAGGAAGCGGGCAGCATTAGCAAGAAGCGTGAGGTGGAAGGGTGCGGGGTGGGGGACACGGATGCTGGACCCCGCCCTGCCATGCGAGCCCCCTTTCTTCCCTTCACCAGAAAAGCAGCCCCAGGAGTTAAGGCAGCGATGGGCCAGACCAGAGTGCAGTTACTGAGGTGTTTCTGAGCCAGCCGCAGACACGCTTACGGCACCCAACAAAGCCCACACAGCTCCCACAGCACCCCTTTCCCAAGCACAGGCACAGATGGGCAGCCTGAGGCCCAAGCAGACAAGACGTGAGCACACGAAGGTGGCATGGGTCCCCTGCTTTCCGGCAGAGGGGCGGCAAGAAGGCATGGAGAGAGAAAGGGCCCGGGAGGCCCAGACCCTGCCAGCCACGTCCAAAGTCACACACGGCAAGCAACAACGCGCCATACGGCCGTGGGCTCGAGCAAAATCCACACCACAACCCCACACAAAGGAAGCAGACTTCAAGAATGACACGTGACCTCAGTCGTCCCCAAGCCCTCTTCCAGGACAAGCCCATCCGTGCTAACTGACTGCTCTCTCTCAGGGACACCCACACTGCACGTCAGGTCTGGGGGTGTCAAGAGACTCTTCCAGAATGAAATACCGTCAAAGGCTAACAGCTCCTTGTGAGACCCCTCTGCCAGGTTCAAGTTGGTGCCCTAGATGTCCCCACAGCCTGGCAACGGCTCCCCTACCATGGGAACAATGGCCAGTCCTGGCAGCCAGAGGAACAGGCAAAAAGCAAGGCAGTGGACCCTGCATGGACCAAAGGACATGTCCTACAAGGTAAAGACCCTGCGTCCTAGCCCAACTCTGCCTGGACAGATCACACAACCCCCTGAGCCTTGGTGTCCTCAGCCATGGATGAAGCAGTCAGATCCGACAGTGGAGTTAGCAGGGCCTACAAGTCCATGAGTCCCTGAGTACGTTTTCCTAGAAGGCAGAAGGTCCAGTCGATGCCACCTCTCAAGAAGGAGGTGAGCGGATGTTGGAAAAAGAGGGGCTGGCCAGGCAGCAGTGGAGGCCAGGGCGGCTCTGGGAGGGGTGGTGGCTGGTGAGTGGGGTGGCCCTCGTCACCTGGAAGATCTTGGACACGTCTTCCGAGTTCCGCTGCTGTGCGACATCGCACAGCTTGGCCGTGATATCGATGCGGCGGCAGATGTCCATGTCCACCTTCATGGCCTTTTCTTGGATCTTTGTGTCCAGGTCTGTCATGGGCTGCAGGGGGGACAGCAGGCAGGGGTTACGTGAGGCGAGGGACGGAGCAAGCAGGAGGGGCCTGGCAGAGGTGGGGAGACCCCGAGGTGTTGTGCGAGGCCCCTGGAGTCCGAGGGAGCCTTTTCTGGAAGTGGACAGTCAGGTCAGTGTTGCTCAGGGTGGGAAAGCGGCGTTGGGGTCTCAGGAGGGACGATGTGAGACCATGTGCCCGTCTCCCCGAGGGCTGCAAGGCCCCCTCTCAGCAGGAAAGAGAGTCAGTGTTTGTTTTGTTAGAGCAAAGGAAAAGGAAATACAACCCTCCCTGTTGGGTAGAGTCCCTTTTCTCCTATTCGGCTTGCCCCACCTGTCCTACACAGCGCGCCTCTCTCCTGGGTTTCTCCCCCAGCTGACAGCAGAGAGCCATCTAGGATGAGGGGGTCTCTTAGGCTGTGGCTCCACCTGGGGCCCCAAGATTCTCCAGCACCCCCGGCTGCATGCCCCTGAGCACCAGGAGCCAGGCTAGGCTGAGTCACCCACATCAAGGCTCCTCTCCCCCACAGCCTCTCCCTACACGCTGCCCACTGCTCAAAGGCACCAAGAAACCTAGATTCCCCAGCAGCAAGGAGGCCTCTGTGGCCCACAGCGGCCCAACCCGAGGTTATTCAGGGAACCCCAGGTTCCAGAGGATGCACACTGGCCTTTCCTGCCTTGCATGGCAGCCTGCTGGGGCCGTTGGCCCGGGAGCCTCCGGCTGGCCCAGCCCAGCCTGCACCGTCACCCCGAGCCACACACCGAAGCTCGCGGCACGGTGAGCTGGGGCAGAGTTGAGCAACACACACAGGCCATCAGAGGAGCCTGGGAGGGCAATGGGTTAAGCGGCGGATTAATGCATCTCTACTCAGACGGAGGGAAGCGGCATGGGGCGGGCAGGGAGGGTGCCTGGTCTCTGATGCATCCATCCGCCATCCTCAGAACAAACACAGCCAGCCAGGACTCTAACTAGAAGCCGAGCTCAGAGCCTCGGAGTGAAGAAAGCGCTCTGCATGATGGGTGTGGGGGGTCGTGATGCCAGGGGGTGGCGTCGGTGGCACTTACGTCACTCATGAGCCCCTTGAACACCACCAGCTCAGCCTTGAGCCGCTCTATCTTCTCGTTCATCTCCTCCTGGATGGCCTCGGCTTCCTGCGCTGCCTGTGGACGGACATGGGCAGGCTTCAGAGCGGCCAGCGCCCTGAGGGGATAAGGAGCTACACACCGGGTCCCTCTGAGGCTGGGCACTCAATGTCCCACCAGGCTGGGCACCTACATGCCGGGGGAAGGTGCCAAGGACCTCGTCTTCCCCGCTTGCTTCCCACTGAGCCCTGCTGACTGCCCGATCGCTTTCCAGGGGATCGTTTATGACACGGAAAGATGCGTGGCAGATGTCAAGGGGAAAGGAGCAAGTGAAGGTAATGAGGGGCCCCAGCCCATTCAACTGTGAGGTCGACTCCCATGAAACGGCCGATATCCGGCCATCCTCTCTCGTCTCAGAAATACCAAGGCGGTGCACCACCCAGGCGGATGCATGGGGCACCCTTAGGTAGAAGAGACTGGAAGGTCGCACCTGCCAATCCGTGGAGGGGCAGAACTGGAGGCAACTTTGATCCTATTCCATATGCTTTTCTGAATTTTCCAAATTGAAAAAAATACTTTGTTATAAAAGGAAGGACATTTATTTTTTTTCCTTCTGCACATTGGTAATTGTTTCAGTTTGCCTCTTTCTTGGGCTATAAATGCTTTAAATATCAGAAATGAATTTTTAATTTTGCTGTTGTTGTTCTCAGACTAGGCAAGGGCTCTACCACTGACTTGTTTCAGCCCACCTAATTCTTAAAATGTTTTGAAAGAACTTTCTGTGCCTCTTCACAGAATCACTATCCTTGTTCCTGTTTCACTTAGAGGAACACAGAGTCCAGGAGGCGAAGTTTGCTGCTCAGAGTCACCACCGTGGGTAAGCAGCAGAGCCCAGAACGCAGAGCCACTAGCTGAATTCACAGAATCTATCCTTGTTCCTGTTTCACTTAGAGGAACACAGAGTCCAGGAGGCGAAGTTTGCTGCTCAGAGTCACCACCGTGGGTAAGCAGCAGAGCCCAGAACGCAGAGCCACTAGCTGAGCAGGGAGGGCAATGTGTCCCCTCAGGTCGGGTGCCCTCCTGGGGACAAGCCTGCCAACTCGCTCTCTGAGGCACCAGTCCAAGCTTAAGGGACTTGGGACCACCTCATACAGCCTCTGTGGCGGGAGAGAGGCTGAAGAAGAAGGAGTCTCTGGCCCCAACAAGACCAAGGCTTCCCAACTCCTGTGGCCAAGCTTTATGCAGCTGTGCGGGGCCATTCTTAGCTCTTAAATACAGGAGGCAGAAGAGCCCTCGTAGTGTCCCAGAGGAGTACCTGGGGCAATAGAAGGCACACAGCGCAGGGGCTGTTCTAGGACTCACTTCCTGGCTTTGCCTGGAGAGCTTGGGCCACAAGGCTCCTCTCCTGGCTGGGACCTTAAGGACTCTTACCTCCTGCAGCGTGTCCACCATGGTCTGGAGGTCCATGCGCTTCGCGAGCTCCTCCTCCCATCTGCAAAAGCCAAGAAATACAGTGGTCAGAGGGTGACCTCAGCAGCCACACTAGTCCTGTCCCTAGGCTGGGCAGGGAGGGTACATAGGCACATCCATCCCTGTATCCTTCCAGCTCAAGAGGGGGGCTGGGTTGACGCTAAGCGTAATTCCAGGTGGGACAAGGGCCACGTCCAAGGCCTGAGTAGGGCACCTCGGGAGACAAGCAGGAGGGACCACCATCCCCTTCCCACAAACTGTAAAGTGGGGTGCAGATGCTGCCATTCCTGCTGCTGCTGCAAGATGCAGTAAAAAGCTGGGCCTTAGGAGGCAGCCTGAAGCTGGATCAACCTTGGGCTCTCCTTTCCATGTGCAAGAAACAAACTCACTGTGTTAAGCATTGCGTTCTTGGGGCTGCCTTGTTCCACAGCCCACTTTAGCCAATAGGGACATCTACAAAGGTGGTGTGATCCCATTTAACAGATGTGGAAACTGAGCTCAGAGAGGCTAAAGGTCCTGCCCCCAAAACATAGCTATTCAATGGGTAAGGCTAGAATTCACAGCCAGGCCTGTTTAATTACATTAAAATAAAACAACAAATACAACTCTTGCTTCTTTAGCATTTATGGTACGCCTCGCGAGCCCCGTGCCAAGGACGTTCTGCATAGCGTTTCATTCACGCATGCGCTGGCTGGAGCTGAGCAGGAAAGGATGGAGGGGTGCGGGCAAGCACAGTTCAGTGTAAACCCAGGGTTAACTGCAGGATGGGAGGAGCTGCTCCCCTCTGACACTCCCTTCGACACAGGTACCCTTCTACATGAAGCTGCTCAGCCCCCCGGCAGCCCCACGGCCTAGGTCTTGTCATCACCCCCGTGCAGGGAGAAGAGACCAAGGCTCAGTCACGTGCCTGAGGCTGCGTGAGGGCAGGGGGAGCTGGGAGCCAGACCCAGGGGAGGCTCCAGACTGACTGCTGAGTCCTCGTCCGGGTCCCCCAGGCCATGACCCTCGGAGCCTGAAGGCCCGTCCTACTTTCCCCCCCGTCTGCTCCCTCCTGGAGGAGCTAGGAGCTAGG